GATTTCTACTTGGTTAGATTTTAGCTCTTTTACTTCTCCAGAAAGGGTTTCTCTAATAACTTCCATATTTTTTTCAAGCCCAGCTAGTATCTTTAAAGTGATGATTCTGAACTCTAGATCTGACATTGTACTAATGTCCGTATTGAGTAGGTCCCTGGTAGTCAGTACTACGTCTTGTTCTTTTTGTTGAGGTGATTTTTTCCGTCTTGTCATTTTGTGCAGAGGAGAATAGATTAATGAGAGAACAAAATGCTAGCAGAGTAACCACGTCCCCAGAAAATATACTCTAAACAAATCAGAAAAGACCTAAAGCAGTGGAAAAAGAAACGGAAAGAGAGAAAAGAGAAAAAGAAAAAAAAAAGAAAAAGATAAAGATAAAAACAGACAAAAACAAACAAAACAAAACAACGACAACAAAAAAAACCAGAATGTGATCAAATATGATCAGGGTGGTATATAGATCAGTGCCACACACTAGATTTGGGGTGTATTTTGGTCTGTTAGAAGAAAGTGCCTCCCAAAATTTTAAAGAAAGAAAAATTTATATATGTACAAAAATAAGGGTTGATATGATGAAGGGATGGAATATGACTGTAAAGATGGAAATTATAAAAAATTTTATAAAAGGAATTGATAAGAAGTTGTTTGAAAAAAGAAGAGGATTTAAAAAAAGAAAAAAGAAAAAAAAAGGGAGAGAATGTCATCAGGCAGGGGAGTAGAAAAAACCATATAGTAGAGATTTAGGGTATATTTTAATCTGTTAGAAGAAACTATCTCAAAATTTTAAAGAGAGAACAACATATATATATGCCAAAAATACGGGTAACTACTATGAAGGGATAGAATATGACTCTAAAAATGAAAAATAAAAATGTTTTTTTAAAAAAAGGGATTGATAAGATGTTGGTTGAAAAAGGGAAAAAGAAAAACTCAAAAAAAAAAAAACAGTTAAAAAAATTAACTTTGAAAGACTAAAGAATCATGGTAAAAAAGCTGTGAATTCTATGTGCAGTAGTCCCCTAGCAGTGGAGTTCTGCCATTCTCATTGATCGGTGAACTTGGTCTTGGCTGGCTGTTCTCGCTGATCTTCTGGGGAGGGGCCTGTTGCCGTGGTTTCCAAATGTCTCTGCCGGAGGCGGAAGTGCCCCGCCCTTGCCCCCTCCCGGCTGAGTAACCTGCTCGGGTTTGCTCTCCGGGGCTTTTGTTCCCTGCGAGCTTTCCGTACAGCTTTGGAGGCGGAGAGTGAAAATGGCGGCCTCCCAATCTCCGCCCCGGAGGAGCCGAGAACTCGGGCCCCGCTCCTCAGTGAGCCCCCAGAGAAAAGCAGTCAGTCACTCCCGTCTCCCCGCTCTCCGGCCGCACCCCGTGCTCGCCTGGCCTGTGACCGCGCACCTCTGTCTCCGGCACCCGAGCCCGGGTGGAGTCTCCAAACCCACCAGATCCCTGCAGTGCACTCCCGCGCGGCTCCTCCCGGGGGAGGAAGGTGAATCTCCCTGGATCTGCCACTTGTGGGGTCCCTGCTGGAGGAGCAGGGGCCCGACTGGGCCGCGGATCACGGTTTATGGCCACCCCGAGCTGAGAGCCCGCGCCTGGGCTCCGCCTCTGCAGCCGGCTTCCCTGCTCTGTTACCTGGGAGCTCTGCCGCACTCAGGCACCCCCGGTCTTTCTGTGACCCCAAGGGTCCTGAGACCACACTGTCCCGGAGGGTTCCACCCCCCTCTTAGCCACCAGAGTGACGTCCCTCGGCGGAGCAGACTTTTAAAAGTTCCGATTTTGGGCCCCAGGGCTCTATCACTTGCCAGAAGCGGCCGCCGGAGGCCCCTCCCCCGCCGTCTATCCTCCCGAATATCGCCTCGGATTCACTTCTCCTCACGTCCTACCTTCCAGAAAGTGGTCGCTTTTCTGATGAGAGAGTTGTTGCTCTTCTTTTCTTCGATCTCCTGTTGAGTTTGTAGGTGTTCAGAATGGTTTGATCCTTATCCAGCTGAATTCCTGAGAAGAGACGAAATCCAGGTCTCCTACTCCTCCGCCATCTTACATCATTAGGTTTTGATGTAGTTTTCCAGACGATACAACTTTCCATATCAGCATACGCAGTTCACTTGATCCTCTTAAGTGGGTATGTAGTAACTCATTGAATGGATGTGACGTGAGTGATTTAGCCACTTTCCTGGACACACGAGGATTACTTTCCCTTCAGTTCTTGCCCAGTAGCAATGATGTGCTACCCAGAATATCCTTAAATACTCCCATCTCTGGTCACTCATGGGAGGGTCTCCAAAAAGTGGAAATAGTAAGTCGGACCGAAAAATAGAACTGCCAGATTGACTTCCAGTTCACACTCTCACCTCCATGTGTGTGCGTGCACCAAACGTTTGAGATCTCATTTCACCCATCTGTCTGCCTTCGTCTTGTACCAGCAAACAAACGGGGGTGTTAACAGAGTGTAAAGGTGATTTCACAAACTGCCCCGGTAGTTCCGTTCTTCGCTCCACCCTCTGCAAGACTGACCTGTAGCAGCCTCATCTGCTCTCACCACCTCCCAAGTGCTGGCCTCTGCCTCATGCAGCTGCAGACTTGGCAGCGAGGGAAGGGAGAGCAGAGCTGGGTCAGCATTTTGAAAGGACAGTAGCAGCCATCCAGCTGGATGACACGGCGCGGCTGAACTGGAACTTTCACAAAGACATCCTCTTTCTGTCAAGAGAGGACCCTCTGCTCTGCCTTGTGGCTCTAGTTGCATGTCCTTGGACAAGTAATCTAACTTGTCTGACTACTCCCCCCCCATTTCCTTGCTTGTTAAGAGACTGACAGCTCTCATACACGCTCCACGGAGATGTGTTAAAGATGAAATGAGACATGTGGAGATGGAAAGTCCTTTGTGAATTGGGAAGCACCCTAGCCATATTTGTGTCTATGCTGGTTATGTTCCTGTTTGCCGGCGTTCTGTTTCAGCTCTGACAGCACAGGACAACTATCAAAGGCAGCTCTAGTGGTCCAGGAATGGATAGAATCACAAATGAGAACGCAAGTGAGGTGAAATGTTGATAATGGGTAAATCAGGATAAAGGCAAACTTCCAGCCTTTGCTTTGATTCAATCTCTGAATTCTGTTCTCCGCTCGGCCTGTGCCCGTAAGTAGATCACACATAGTTGGTCCGGGCACTCCCTAACAAGCAGACCGAATGTGGCAGCACGCCTGGGCGTGTTGGTTGATCCTGGTGAGCAGCGGTGTTCTCGTCTGTGAAATGGGAGAGCAGCTCCCTGGCCTCCCACTGCTGTTGTGAGAACCAAGTGAGATGATCCGGGTGGTGTGTCGAGCCCCGTGCCCTGTGGCTCGGCGGGCTCCCTGCTGCCAGCCGTGGTGAGGGTGTAGGTCAGCAGAGCCTGGCTGAGGACCTACAGCCTGAGACTCCGTGAGACCAGTCAGCCGGGTGTGGCCTTCTATTCTGGGGGACCCCCAGGATGACTCTTCTCAGTCCTCGGCTTAGGCTACACCCCTGGGATCACAACTGATAGGAGAAGCTCTCCACCTGCCTACCCACAAACTACGCCGTCAGCCCCCAGCAACCTGGCCCACAGCGAAGCTGCTGGACTCAAGCTGCTGCAGTGAGTTCCGACCCTGGAATTTCTCATGCGACTCGCTGGGACACTTCCTTGCTTCTTCCCTTCCTGTTTTCTTGGCTGATGGAGTCTCCTTTCCTAAGACTAAAACATTTAGAAGTCTGAATGGGAGGAAACTGATTTTCGGTGGAGATGCCCTGTGTTTTCCAAGAATGTCATTGTCGGGTCACTCTGTCCCCTCGCAGAGCACCTGTCAGCATGTTTGGAGCCATGGCTGAAGAGCAGCTGTGGCTCGGTGGCTCCGGGGGGAGCACACTCGGTAGCTTTTCCCAATGGAGAGCCCCTCCATGGAGGTTTGTCAGACCAAATACATAAGAAAGCCAGGCATGGATTTCATACGCACACTCCCAGGCCTGCGGGGATGCCCCCTGGTAGCGCTACTTCAGTGACAAACCTGGAAACCACCCACAAAGTCCCGTGGCTGGGCCGCTTCTGTGGTCCCGTGACCCGTGGAAGCATGGTGGGCCTGCATGGGCGGCACAGAGACTGCTCGCTCTGCGCCACTGGGTGAAGAGAGCTACTTGCAGGAATAATATAAACGGTATGAGCTCACAAAATTCTTTATATGAACATAGGATATATAAAAAGTAAATCCTGAGAAACCGAAAGCATAGGTGACCTCTGGAGAATGGAACTGGAAGACAGAAGGAAGACCTTCATTTTTTACTTCATATCCTCTGTCCTGTGTAAATGTTTTACCTAGTAGGCATTAATTTTTTTTGGTTTTTTTTTTAAACTCTTAACGTTAGAATAACTGCAGATTTCAGGGCATCTGGGTGGCTCAGTTGGTTGAATGTCTGACTTGTGATTTCTGCTCAGGTTGTGATCTCATGGGGCGGAGGTCAAGCCCTGCGTTGGGCTCCGTGCTCAGCGGGGAGTCTGCTTGAGGTTCTCTCCGTCGCCTTCTGCCCTGCCCCCCCCTCACACTCTTGCACTCTCTCTAAAATAAATAAATACATCTTTAAAAAAATTTTTTTTATTTAAAAGTCAGAGGAACATTACAAAGAACTCCCATGGCCCCCTTCATACAGATTCCCCAGTTGTTAACATTTGACCGTATTTGCTTTATCCTAGTCTGTGTGTGTTGTGTGTATGTATGCACATGTGTGTGTATATAAAATTTCTAGGTTTTTGTCCTGACCCACTTGAAAGAAGGTTGGAGACATGACACGCCTTTACTCCTACACAGTTCAGGGTATTTCCTGAGAACAAGGATACAATGCGCTTCCCTAACTCAGGAAATGAACACTGCTGTAATACTGTAATCTTAAATTGTAGTATCAGTTTTTAAATCAAAGAGAATGAATGGGAATGAATCTGTGGGCCTGTCTGTCCCAGGCCCTCTCCCTCACCTGTGTGTCTGGCCATGAACCTTTGCAGATGCAGCCTCCAAACATGCAACCCAGGCATTCTTTGACTGTCTTCGTGCCGAGATGGAGCAGTATGAGATCGAGGTGACTGTCATCAGCCCTGGCTACATCCACACCAACCTCTCTCTCAATGCCGTCACTGCCGACGGGTCCACATACGGAGGTGAGGCCCTGGTTTCTCTTTTGTTCCATGAGAAGCTGTTGGTTGGCCACAGTGAGATGTGCTTCTCTTCCCTGGTGATTCTTTGGTTATTTTCATTTGGAATGTAATTTTTCAAACCAAAAACCTTGATGTGTGGGTATTGGTTAATACATACTGTTGATTAGTGGTCATTTACCTTGAGCCATCCTTAGCCTGAGCATCACCATCGCAGCTGTCGGAACAGGGTCCCTGGTGGCCAGGACTTTGAGTCCTTTGAAGGAGTTGGAAGGCCAAGCTTCCAAATTAAAGTAAATTAAAGTAAAATTAAAGTGGATTAACTTCATGGAAAGTAGGGGTTGCTTGGCCCAAAGTATTCCCCCCTCAGTGTGCTTGAGAAATGACTGATTTCAGGGTGCTCAAAGGAAAGAGTGCAGCCTTCTGGGGTGAGGCTGGGGGTGCAGGTCTCAGTCTCCAGCTTGCTTCAGCCAAAGGCATGGTGAGCTGACACGCAGTCAGCACCAGTGGGCTGAACGGCCTGGCCCCAGCCTCCCAGGACCGCTGCCCACACGTGCTGTTGATGGGCTGGCTCTGCTTCCCCACGCTTGCATGGCCCCACGTCTTGAGAAGTGACCTGTCATGTCCTGCCTCCCTGGATGTGCCCTCTTGGGCCTGTGCTCTGGTGTTCAGCAGGGGCCTGCAGGTCCTACACCCCACCCCAGCCAGACCTGAACCACGACCGCGCAGGCCCTGGATAGCTGCTCACTCAGCAGGTCAGCAGGAACCATACAGAAGCATAGAGTCAGAGAGGTTCACACTTATTTATACCTAGAAGAATCCTTTTTTAACAATTCTGTCTGTGACATTTAAAAATAATCAACAGTCAGAAACTTCCTATTTTGTGTTTACAGAAACACAATGAGAACAGATACTGGTGAGGAAGCTCATGCAGTTTGGACAGCTAACTGGTGGTCGCAAATGGCCTGTGCTGGTGGCCTCTCTTCTCCGCCCGCCATCTAGTTCCACTTTGTGGGCAAAATTGTCAGATTACTAGGAGAGAATGTTGGTGTCAACCAGCCAAACACCTCCTAAACTCCCTGCAGCTGTAACACCGCAAACAAACCAAGGCTTTCTTACTGGTGCTTGTCCAGTTAACACATGACGGGGGAACCGTGCCATCTATTCCTGAGTCACTTCACTCTCACTGCGGTGGGCACTCCTAGTCTTTTCCCATTCCCCGTCTGGCAGACCTCAGGCCAGGCTACTCAAGACCAACTCAGCACCACACCATCCTGTGTTGTTGGTGCCAATGGACAATTCCCAAGGTCCAGAATCACTGTGTGTGAAGGGCTCACTCTTTGGGACCCCATGCGGCCTGGCCTTTGGCCTTTGTCATGGACTACCAGTTCCTAAGCGCTGAGAGGCCTCATCTACCTCGTTCCCACGTCTCACCCTCATTCTCCCTTTCCCCGCTCACACACACTGAACTGCAGATGGCTTCCTCATTTCTTGGGAGTACAGAATAGTCAGGGATGGTGGCATACCACGTGCCTCCCAACAGACGGTGGAAAGAGCTTCATGGTGGGAAATTTAGCAAACCCAGCTGACATTGGTCCATGTCCGCTCAAGTCCTTGAGAGAGGGACTTCTGCTTTCTAGTTCATGACTTTCTTTTGTTTTCTTTATTTTAGTTATGGACAAGACCACGGCCCAAGGCCGAAGCCCTGTGGAGGTGGCCCGAGATGTTCTGGCTGCCGTGGGGAAGAAAAAGAAGGATGTGATCCTGGCCGACCTGTTGCCTTCCTTGGCCATTTATCTGCGAACTCTGGCTCCTGGGCTCTTCTTCAGCCTCATGGCCTCCAGGGCCAGAAAGGAGCGGAAGTCCAAGAACTCCTAGTGGCGCATCCCATCTGGGCTAGGGAGCAGCACCTGGCTGGGTGCAGCTCCTCGATAAGGGGCGGCTGCATTTGTTGAAACCTTACTGGATATTTGTCTTACGGGTGGGAAAGATGGAACACACACTTCTGAAGATCCCTGGCTAGGCCCCTGCTAATAGAATGAGAACCAAAAAGGGCAACCAGCTTCTTAGGGGTGAGGGGTAAACCTTAAGGAACAAATGTGGAGCTGGGTTTAAACTAAGACTCTGAAATAAATGAATGAACGGTTAAGAGTTGTAGTCCTCGAGGGCTGCCAGCACCATGCCTCCTTTGAATTCCAGCCTCAGCCAGCTCCTAAAAAGTGTGTCAGTCTTGAAGACGGAAGACATCCTGACATCATGTGACCCACTTCTCATATTTGACTGATCTGGATCACAAACTAATGGTTTTGGCAGAGTCACCTGCAGTACTCAAGGGAGCAGGCTGTCCTTTTAAGAAGCCGTCATCCATATCCACCGTCAGGGTCCTACAGTCCGTCATCCAACACAACAAATGGGCTCCTGTGTGTTCCGTCTTTCCACGTAACCCAAGTGATGCTGGCTTTAGTAACTAAAAGGAATTCCCCGGTTTCCCTGTGCACTCTCACCTGAAGCCGTGTAGACCAGGCCCCACTTCAAGCAGAAGATGAATGTACAAGGACACGGCAGCCAAAAGGGAGAGGAAAACCACCCGGATGGTCCCGCAGATCTCTAGGAAGTGAGACTCCGAAGCCCGGTCAGCTGGGGGGGGGGTTCTGAGGCCGCAGGTGGCCCCCGGTGACAGAAGTCATTTGTTAGCTGTGCCTGTTGGAGCGGAGCCAGAAGGGATGCTTGGTTCCACCTTTCTGATTTATTAAAAATACATGGTTGAAGTTCAGTGAGTAAATCGACGTCATACTTGAAGTTTAGAATGAAACTTTTCCTATTAGGCTGAAAGTGGAAATTGTGGGTATATGGTATGGCTTCCCCGATGTGGAATAAAAATGTCCTAGCACGTCATAGCGGCATCTTACGCTGTGTCCTAACTCTGGCCCTGCAGAGCTTGTATCTTAAACAGCTGTCCCTGAAATAAAAATGGCCAAAGCCAACCTATGGTTAGTGTTTGAGGCTCTCGAGTTTCCTGGGAGCAGGAGGACAAGGAGTGGGGCATTAGCTCTGGTGACCTTCCCCAGCTCCCAGCGCTGCCTGAACATTGCAGGGGCCCGTGGTGGAAGTGTGCACCCGGACATCCGGGGCAGCTCTTCATTTTCCACCGAAGCCATCTACTTCCTCCTAACGCGGGAGAGAACGATCTTACTGTTCACGTCAGGGCTGTTGGAGCCAGGGAAGAGCTGGACCCACGACAGCCGTAGTGGCCACTTTAAAGCCTACCGTGAGAGGGAATAAAATTGTCAAGTGCACAGCACGTCCGCAGGAAAGGCAGTGACAGAGGAAGGCGTGCGTCCAAATGGGAACGGGAGAACATCTGTCCTTGGGCACTCAGCTGACTGGCACTTTCAGCGGGGCCCGGACCCAGGTGCTGTCCTTTTCTCTCCGTTAAACAAAACGGGCAGCAACTGGACACTGGTGTGACCTGCTGTCCTCTAAAGAACACATGCTTAGCAGCCACACAGTCCGTCATCAAAACATGGCACCCACTCCGCTGCGGAGGGCGTTGCTTTGGGGGCCCACCAAGCCCCGACCCAGGCGCGGGTCCGTACGCAGAGCTCGGAGCAGACACGAAGGGTCTCTTAACCCACACACGAGCCCTGAGCCCGATTCCAAACCACTGGATGTTTATTGACCTCATATTTTTAAAGACTCACACTCACTTTCTTAAACTTACTTCAGAAACTTTATATTCTACCGTATCAATAGCAAATGCAGCACAACCAATCATGAAAAGCTAGCTACGTCCGGCCGCCTGGCAGACGCTGTCCAAGGCCCGGCTGCTCCTGAGGACGTCGGCCATACCGCAGAGGTAGTAAAGATGCGCTCCCGCCGCACAGATGCTCTTTGTGGCCTCGGAAACGAGGGAGAGGACTGAGGAGGGCCAGCGACGTCAGTGCTCTGGAGGGCACGCTGGCGTGAAGGTGGGGCTCCCCGCCCGGGAGGGCGAGCCCCCCACACACACACACTGTGCCCCGGCCAGGACCCCACTCTTGCTTTCAAGCCAGTGTTTGAATATGAACATCGGCCACCAGGGGCAGGGGTGGTGCTGTTGCCATTTCTCTTTTCTGTCCTCAAGGGTTTTTCCACCCCTCCCCCACCGTGGATTGGGGGTAGGTTGGAAAAGCTCTGCATTGGTTCTGCCCGCACATAAAGTTCAAAGGCACTTTCCACTCTGCTCTGTGGGCCTCCTGGGGTTTCCCGGGCCGAGGGCCGAAGCACGCGCACGTGAGTTTCCAGCCAGCAGCGCTGCACATCTGTGCGCGGCTCCCGAGTGGTCAGACGGGACAGGGAGCGCGCAGCTGCCACCAGCAGGCACCAGGGACGCCACTTCCCTTCCCTCCTTCGTGGGGCCCCGCAGCTGCTGAACCAGACGTGGACGCTTGGGAGGGAGCGGACAGGCTACGGAGAGAGCCGGTAAGTGTTCGCCGCGGTCTGCCCCTCCGCACTTCTCGAGCTGACCTTCCTAAAGGCTCTTTGCTCGTCTCTGAAATTGGGGTGAGTGGGCAGTTCAAACAAGATGCCTGTAACTGGGTTACTGGCGCGATGCATTGGCGCACGTGGACACACACAGGCCTGGTGTGTGCACTTCGCAGGCAAGGCCCAGCTGACTCGGCCTGTTTCCCAGTTGGCAGTTCCCTAAGGCCGTGTCCAGAGCCCTGCGGCACGTCACGAGGAGCGTAACCCACTCGACGGTGCCGTGTAATTAGGAAGGCGGCAGAAACAGAGAAGCCTTCCAGGCGCCGGAGGTGCGCTCCTGCCGCTCTCCTTCCCAGCCGAGCGGGGCCGCTGCTCGCGTAGAGAGGCCTAGAGCACCAAAGTCCTGCTCTGCCCTCCGCGGCAGGCCTGAGTCCTCACCTTGGCAGGGCACTCGGAACTGCGCTGGTATGTCAGAATCTGGGCTAGTCCACCTGACCAGAATCACTGTATTCAGCGCATCTGGAGCCAGCTTGCTTGCACTTGGCTTCTCTTCCTGGTGAGGACTTCTGCTCAGCTGACCCGACCAAGACGGCTACTGCTTGTCGGCTTCCAGCCACCTCCCCCATGAAATCTGGCTTGCCGGCAGAGCATGGGGCTCCCTTTCCAAATCTGCGCCGTTTATTACAAGACACCTGCCATTCGTGCCCGGCCGGCCTGGGAGCCAGCTGTCAGACACCCGAGGGGTTGTGGGCTCTGCACGTCGAGACCCTGTGCCTGGGATCACTACCGATCGAGCATTGTTGCCGATGGCCAGACTGCCATGTAAGCTATAGTGTGCCCCCAACACCATCTTGCCACCCAGCATTCACCTGAGTGATTAGTATTTCTAGGCCTCTTGGAATTAAAGTTCACAGTCTATGGACCACAGTCCATTGTGAAGTCTTTTAAAAGCTCTGGATCTCCCCTCATAATAAACGGACCAATCGCCCACTTGAGCTCCTTGACGCCTTCCCATGTACCCCTTCATCATTCTCTGGTATCCGATCTTCCCGATGTGGCCTTTAAAACTAGACTGCTTCTTGAAGATGGACCCTTCAGAAGGAAGTGCCATGTAGCTCCTCAGGGAGGACTGAGAGCAGGCCTCGGGAAGGTTGCACGTAAGGCGGGGGACCTGACATCTTTATGGAAGGGAAGATTTTTTTAATTACCCAACACCTTCGAGGGATATGGAGGACGGGGTGCGACATGCCCTCTGCTGTGAGGGAGGGGCGCGGGACTGGCTCCTGTGGAATGGGACCGCTGGGAGGGGCCCTGGGCTCAAACTCGGGGTCCACATCAGGAACAGCTTCAATGCTTTGAAAAAATACAAGTGTTCACCCGTGGGGCCTTCTAAATCAGAATCTCTGGACAGGAGGTCCCAGGCCTGTTCTCCACGTGGCCCCACACGGAAACCCAGTGACCTCTAGGGCTCGTCACCGGATCCCACCACGTCCCCGCCTTGAAAACGAGGCCGGCATGAGGTGAGAGCGCTCTGGGAGGGGCCTGGGCAGGCCTCATTCACAGAGGCCTGTTCTTGCCGCGGACGGTGACACCAGGCCACAGCAAGGAGCAGGGCCGGCGGGCTCGCATGGTGCCCACAGCTCCCACGAGCAAGCAGCCGCCCGCAGCAGCTGCAGGTGGTCATGGACACAGCAAGACACCTGAAGTTGAAATTCTCATAATTTTAATGGTCAATAGCTTCTGGTTGGCTCTGGATGGTACAGTTAAACAACAGACTTAAAGACGTCCCCCCCACCCCACAAGCGCACTCCTACCCCCTCAGTAGCGTTGCTGCTGTCCACATTCCACCGCCCGCTCAGACCCCCTGTGGGTTCTGGAAATCCACATCTTAGTGTAATGAGTTGAAAAACCCTTAGTACACCTGTGATCTGTGTTATTTTTTTTTTAAATAACAAATATTAAACAAAACCCCTTCCCAGGTTCCGCCGCCTCACAGAGCAAAAACTGTTACTGGGGCCATCTGAATACTCGGGGTGTGTCTCGTGGGCCGGGTCATTTGCTTCTCTCCCTGCACTACTGAGATCATACAGCATAGAGTTCGTAAATCTTCTTTACACAGTACACCAGGGCGGCCAGGGCTATCGTGTTGTGCAGTCTCTTTCTGTGCAAGTCGTCCTTCCGGACCAGCACCACCGGGGTGGAGGAAGTGAGTGTGTGCAGGGGCAGGCGGGACAGTTTATAGGCGTCGTACTCCACTTGGTACTTGCAGCAGGGGTCAAACTGCCAGGAGATTCCGTACAGGGTGCAGCAGGCCAGGCTGAGCACGCCGGCGGGCAGGGAGATATAGTGGGAGTAATCTAAGGGCAGGGCCAGCGGGGTGAAGAGGCACGCGGTGCCCGCCAGCACGGTGGTCTTGTGCAGACAGTTGCCCACGGTGATCCAGCGGGCCGTCTCGTCGCCGATGCGTGTGGGCTCGATCACGATGTACTTGTACTGGGCTTCCAGGGCCTGCTCCAGCTCGTACTCGAACTGGTCTTGGGCGTTCTCCCCATTGTAGATCTCGTGCACGATGTAACAGTCTGTGGCCGACAAGCTCACCCTTGGGGGGGGAGGGGGAGAAAGAGGAGACAGTGAGACGGTCAGGCTGAGCAGCGCCCACCCCACTTCTGTGCTCAGACGCTGGGGACAAGTCCGTGGCCCAAGCCTGGGCCTCAGGCTCATCAGAGAGCCCAAGCTCGTGAGCGCACCACGTCTCGCTTATGTTTTGATCTTCCTTGGAACCCAATACACAAGGTAGTCACTAAAGAATTTTTTTTTTTTCCTCAGAGAAAATAGTGAAATGTAGAGAGACACAGGAGGAGGAATACCCAGATCTCTAAGGACATGACCACCTGCAGTGTGTACCAGCCTGGCGGTCAGCCCAAGGCTGCACACGGACAGAGCTGAGTGTGCAGAGGAGCCCCAAGGAAGACAGAATGTTTCGGCCCGGAATCACACCCACACAGAGGCCCGAGGTCGGCTGGAGGAACCGTGCCTTTGGTTAACCAGAGCGACGCAAGGGGGAGGATTCTTCGATGGAAACCAACAGATCCAAGGCCGATAGTGCCCAACACTCTGCCCTCTGCAAGGTTCAAAAGTCGTCATCCCTGCGCTGCAGAACAACAGACCGACAGGGTCATCTTCGCTTCGGATGACTGAGAACAAAACAACTCTGGCCATCACGGGAGGACGAACTGCACAAAGCACCCGAGGCCGACAGCCCCAAGAACACCAGCACACAGCTTAGAAAAAGAAGCCCTCTGCTTTAATTAGGAAAAGACAAGGCCTCAAGAACCGTGACAATGATATTCAGTGTTAAGGGGGATATATGAAGGGCCCCCCAGAGGTTCCCACCCATTCTGACCCTGTGCCTCCACGACTCTGTATTTATTGCCAGTAAAGCTCCTCTCACTCACATAAAAAACACTGTTCACAAAGCCCCACTTTGAGTGGCTGAGCTGATCCAACTTCCCTGTGGGACTAGGGATGGGTGACCTGACCGTCATTGGCGGAACACAGATCTGGAGGCTCAGGGACGGCTCAGCCGTGAATCCAGGCCACAGAGCTGGCTGTGAACCATGGGCCCGGGGGCATTTTAGGCTGTTTCGGGATTCTGTTGACCTCTCTCCGGTGCAAACTTCGCATCCAAAGCAGAATCTTTCCACACCCCTGATGGGCAAACCTAAATATAGACCTGTACACGCCTTGTCATTTCCATTTGGCTTGTTTCAGCCTGTCCAGATCTTTCTGAATTTCCATACCGCTGTCCAGCGTGTACAGTTTCTTCTAGTTTTGTGTTCTCAGTTCATCCAGTAAAAAGCCTTCTTTATACCAGCCTCCGAGGGGGACACTGCTACACACAGCTCCTGAAGCTGGATCAAGTCACTTAACCCTCTTACCAGGCAGTGCAGAGCACCCTCCACATGCTTCGGTGAAAAACAGCCCCTTCCCTTCAGCAGCCCCTGGTCCCTGGGCTGCTCAGACCATTACAAAGGAGAGGTGGTCCAGGGGCCCCCGTCTCGCTCTGGTGCTCACTGCTCCCCGCACCCAAGCCCACGCCCCTCTGGCTGGGGCTCCGGGCAAGTGTACTGAGCCATACAAAGGTGATCGCAGCCCATCCACCTGAGCTCTGATTGTCCGAGTAAGCACAGCCCTAAGTGCTCAAGGACACAAGGCCACCAGCTGCCCACATCCCGGGCACGCACACCCAGCAGCCACTCCGAGGAAAGCAACAGGGGAGCCGGGCTCAGAGCTTCCTCGTCAGGGCCTGTGCACATTAAGGCCAAGTGAAGGCTTTTAAAACAAGGTCACCCCAGAACCTCTAGGTCCTAGCCCTCCTTCAAAGGCGAAACGACACGTGAAGTGTGGTGAAAACTGCATTGCTGGGGGTATACTTCAAGGAGGAAGGACACGTGATCCGAGCACTCCTTCCAGTTATCACTCCCAGGCAGGATTCAACACGATAAAAACTACCTGCAGCCAACAAATAAGCAAACCTAAGAGGCAGAGCGTTTCACTCTGTTAGAAAAACAACTGCTCAAATACTTTCCCCGTGGTCGCATCATCGGAAGGTCACTGGTAATGTGCCCCCAAGTGCAGGGGGAGGGGCCTCCATTCCCAGGTGGGAAGGACTTTAGCAGGAGGCACTGGCTGGGACTTGGGCAGAGGCAACTCTTTATTCTGAAAAAGTAACTGTAATTAAGGTGGGCGCAGGGGAGCCTCCTAATTAAAGCACAGGCCCTAATTAAACGGTGTGCACTGGGGAGAAGTCGTTCCCTGGGGGTCGGACAGGCGCCTCCTAAACGTGGGACATTGCCAGGGCAGCTACGCTGAGCCAGTAGGGAGCCAGTAGTCGGGGCCGCCTCTCCAGGAGGACTTAATGAGCTGCTTCCGGAGGAATCCACCGGAAGTTGATGCAACGGGAAAAGGAGGGTTTTCCCTTTCAAGGCCTGCATTTGGTTTGAATTCAGGGAGGGGAGATGGAGCTTGTTTCAGTTCTTACTCCCAGGCAGGGTCTCACGCTGGCTGGAAAAGTCACAGCAGAAATGGAAGTCACTGGCCATGGGCTGACTGGCCCCATGTGCGCAGGACCAGGGAGAGGACTCGCTCCCAGGCAGCCCCGACTTCCCTTGTGTTCTCAAGATGTGAAGACGAGGCGCTTCCAAGTCAGTGCGCGTCCCCACCGACTACCAAAGCGAGGCCAGGGATGCCTTTCTGGCCACGAAGTCCCCCCAGAACATTCAAAGCAAAACGTAGGTGTCAAGGTTGGGATCACAGAATGTTCCTGCCCAAAGCCCAAATCTACCTTAGCATAGAGTGCCCTCTGCGCCCAGCAGATCGGAGCCACCCTGAACGTCGTGAGGCCCAGTAAGAAAACGCCAGGTGAAACCCCAGCACCTGGAACCGGCCGCTCTGTTCTGGAAGCACATGCGTGGGCAGATCCCACCTCGCCGTCCCCGAGCCCCCTGCTGCCCTCTCTTCTGTAAGCCCAGCTGGCATCCACAGCCACGCCGCCCATGGGCCTCCTCAAGCCTCCAGGTTCCTGCCTCACTGCTGTCGTCCCGTGCCCAGCGTCAGGCCCGACAGCACAGGGACGGACAGCGGGTCACCGTCTGCGTTCTGGCCGCGGGCAGTCATGACCGCCACAGTGCACACGAGGGTGCTCATCCAGTACGCACACCCAGCCTTGCGAAAGCGTGCCACAGCTTCCTGAAGCCGCAACAGCTTCCTGGGGGCGGGTCACCCCACTGCTACCCGTCTCCATCCACCCGCCGCACCGAAGTCCCTTCCGGGCGCCTTCAGACAAGCCCGCCTCTGAAGCCCGCCCAGCCGGCAGAGCCGCGCTCCCGGCCCCGACGCGCACGGATCCTGCTCTTGAAGCCGAGGCACAACTCCCAAAGTCCGCGCACGCAGTCTCGTGTCACTGCCAAACCACGTAATCTGAGGTCGGGCCCTTTCCAGGATTCCATACGCTACACACAGGACACACAAAGGCTCAAAACGCATGTGCGCGCGCACACACACACACGCGCGCGTGCAATCGGAGGCCCCACCTGTTAAGAGGCCACCCATCAAGCACTCAGCGTCTACTCCTCCCGCCTGGGCTGTGGCAGTTGGGGTTCCTGTCCCTGCAATTACAGGTTTTAATAGCTGCCTGGACCACTGGATTCAGTCCGCATGGTTGTCATGGGCTGTTACTTCACAAACCTGGTGGCCGAGTATTCCCAAGACAGAGCCGTGTCTCCCGCCACCTGGCTACTCCAGTGCCCACTCACGTGTGGCCTGCTTTTGTTTCCGGGTCACACGTCCCCCAACTAAGGAAGGACCCAGTGGCCTTGAACAATTTTAGACCATCACCAGCCAACCCCTAACTTGAGCCCTGGCACACAAATGCAGATTAAAAAAAAACAAAAAAGGTAACTGGAGTCTTTGGAGCTTCCTAAGAGACTCTATTTTTGCTTTTCAAGAGTCCATAACAGAGTTCATGTAGGGGTGGCTAGTGGTGCACTTGGTTGAGCGTCTGGCTCTTGGTGGTGATCTCAGGGTCCTGGGATCAAGCCGTGAGTCGGGCTCTGTGCTCAGTGCACAGCCTCCTTACCTCCTCTCCCTCTGCTCCTCCCCCCAACTTGGCGCTCTCTCTCTCAAATAAATAAACCTTAAAAAAAAAAGTTCATGTAAAATGAGAAAGAGAACTGATGGAAAAGTATCCAAGAAATAAAGTGACAAAGGCAAGTACAGAACAGTGATTATAGTACGTTATCTTTAGTGTACTTTTCAAAAGCTAGGTTTGCTTTTAGGGGTGCCTGGGTGGCTCAGTCGGTTAAGCGTCTGCTTGAGCTCAGGTCATGACCCTGGAGTCACAGGATCAAGCCCCGCATCGGGCTCCCTGCTCAGCAGGGCCTCTGCTCCCCCCTCCCCGGCTTGTGCTCTCTCACTCTCTCTCTCGAATAAATAAATAAAATCTTAAAAAAAAAAAGGTGTATGTTTGCTTTTAAACACACAGAACATTCCTGGATGTACAAAGACCTGAGAATTATGACCATCACTGGGGAGAGGAAAGGACTGGCTCCGAGAAGAAAAGGGAGCTCTTCTACCACATAACTTCTGAGTCGAATTTAGCACGATCCGTGGGACTTACGGTACAGGCTCATGCTCAACTCCCTCTGCCCATGCTGAGGTCAGTTTGCCTGGGGGGCCCTTAAGTAGCCTGTGGGGCAGAGCTGATGCTCTCTCATCTGAGCCGGAGGGGCTGCTGTGGACGCTGCCTCAGGGTCGTGGGCACTTGTCACTGGGGCTCCTGAATTGGCCTCCCTCCCTCTGCCTTCAACCAGAGTGGGCCTGAGACCCACCCCTCTCCTCTGAATCCACTCCGGAGGTCGTCAGGCAACGGTCATCAGAGGAATCCCCTGCGAACACGGGCTTTCCGGTGGAAAGGTGGCCACAGTGAAGAAGCAGCCGGATGAACCCCGCTCCCCGGATGTGGGCACCCCCTCTGCCCCTGGCAGCCTGCCCAGCATGTGGCCCCATGGTCCCCTATGCCATCAGGAAGCTGGTCTCGAGGAATCCGGAATGACAAAAGTAGTCTCACACACGGGATCCCCAAAGTCTGGAGATCCCGCCCCAGAAGTCAGAGCTGTGCACAAACGTTCCGAGCAGCACTGACGCGAAGAGCTGGCTACCTCGGGCGGTTCCTCCGTCAGAGCGAGAAAGGAGGCACAGCGGAATCCCTCCCTCGTAAGGTGGAGGAGGAAGCCGGTAACATGGAGACGCACACTCACACGCGTGTGCAGCACACAGAACCGAAGGACACGCTGCTACCGAGGAACGTCCTCACGTGTGCTAACTGTGAAGAACAGCAAGGAAATGACGAGTCATGAGCGAGGGGGCCTCTGCCTGCCGGTAGGGACGCGTGGGCCAGGGTGACGCTAGTGAGCGGTGAACACACGGGTTTACTGTGTCTCCAAATCACGGTGAAACCCACATAAAACGTACCGTCCTGACCGTTTGTTCAGTGCACAGTTCAGCAGCGTTCAGCACCTTGCCGCTGCCGTGCAACCAATCTCCGAGATGCCTTCCGCTGGCAAAATGGCAACTCTGCCCCCGTGAAGCAACAGCCCCCACTCCCCACCCCCCGACTTTGTGTCTCTGAGCTGGACAACCTTAGGTACCACACTAAGTGAAGTCGTACCGTATTTGTCCTGCAACTGGCTTACTCGATGTGATGTTTTCAAGGTTCACCCACGTTCTACAGCGTGAGTCAGAATTTCCTTTCTTTTCAAGGATGAATAAAGACTAGTCCATTGTACGTCTCTATACTTGTTCATCCATCACCCTTGGGCTACTTCCACCTTCTAGCTACTGGGAATCCTGTTTCTGTGAACACAGTATAAAATGATCTGCTCAGGTCTCTGCTTTTAATTCTTCTGGATACGTGTCTAGAGGCAGAACTGTTGGATCGCGTGGTGATTCCACTTCCCGACGGCTGCGGAACCGCCACACTGCCCACGGCTGCACCCCTTTACGTTCCCACCCAAAGGGCATGCGGGGTCCAACCGCTCCACCTCAGGAATGCTTATAATTTTCTGTTTTGTTTGTAATTGTAGCCATCCTGATGGGTGTGAGGTGAGAGCTCACTGTGGTTTCGATTTGTACTTTTTATGGATAGAAGTCACATGCCGCACAACTCACCCACTTGGAGTGGACAATTCAGTGGCTCAGCGCCTTCGCTGCATTGTGCAGCAAGCACCACGAGCAATTCTGGAGTATCCCCATCACCCCAAAAAGAAACCCCATCGCTTCCCACCTCCCCCAGGCCTCCCCAGCCCCTGGCAAGCACCAGTCTACTTACTGGCTCGACGGACTCACCTATATGGACATTTCCATATAAACGCTATCATGTCTGCGGCCTTTTGTGACTGGCATCTTTCATGGGGGGTAATGTTTTCAGGGGCCAGACACATGGCAGTAAGCTTATGACTTTTCACGTTAGGAACATACTTTTGATGTGTGTAACATACAGTTTTTTAAAATCCAACACAAAACATCTGGAGGGAAGTATCAAAGATGCTATCCATAAAGAAAAGTCAACAATGGCTTTCTTCGGATGGTGGCCTAACAGCTGACTAAAATTTTATTTTCCTTCATAGGTTTCTGTCTTTCTCAAAGAAGAAAACAAATACACATGTGCTTCTTTCATAATGGAAAAATTAATGGCCAACTTTTTCTTGAAAAAAAGAAAACTCTTGCTTGACAGCCCCGTATCCCTCGGGGTGACAAGACCCCACAGCCGTGGACCGTCTATGGCCGAGGTGAGCGGAGGGAGCCCAATTCCGTGCTTGCGGAGAAGCCCGTGCTGCCAGGGAATGAGCCCACCGCCGCGAGTCTGGGCACAGGCAGCATCCCGTGGCTGACGTAGCCTGCTGGTCTCAGCCCCCTGCCATCCTGCCAGTGAGCAGGAGGAAAATTCCATTTCCCTGTCGGCTCAAGCAAGCACTGGCCAAGGGGCCGGGCAGGCCACCATCACTTTCTGGTCCTGGCAGAACCGGAAGAGGCTAATCTAACTGTAGCAGAAGGCCTTGCTTTGGGCCCACTTCCTGGAGCAGGTCCTGGGCTCCCAGGCAGGCCCGGGCTGCGAGCTCCCGTCTGAAACACAACGGATGTCAGTTCGGAGCTCTGTGGAGGCAGACTGGGTTTTCACCACAGCAACCCCAGCACCGGGCCTGAATGGGACACCTTACCAGCAGACATCAGCGGAAGCACATTCGAAATGAGTGGCAGGGGAAAAACAATTATGGTAATTAAGAGAACAGGTGGGTGAAAAATTAAACTAGGTCCATATGTCAGGTTGCTTTCCACCTACTAAGCATGTGGCCACTCCATTACCTGTGCTCTGTGAGGTGCTGAACTTTACCTCTACCCCCCAGATCTAGAATCCACTTTTGGCTAACCAAAAATTGCCAAAGAAAGCAGGAGGAATCTATGTTGTGGATTGAAAGGCCCCTTCGGACAGAAAGGCACAGGCACGTAGCCCCAGATGTTGAGGATGACTCCAAACAGGCCAAGGAACTTCCACAGGCCCCTGGCAGGTTCGTCTGATTCAGAGAAAGCCCCGCACGAGAGCACACGCTTCTCCCCGGTGCTCTGGGAGGTGCACTGCGCCCTGCCGTGGGAATGAGAACACAGTGCACCGAGTGCGGGAGTCCGGAGGCCTGGATTGTACTTCCCTCTCGATGACTCGCTGGCTTTGTGGCCAAGGGCAAAAGCCCTTGCTGCTCGAAGCCACGCTGCCTCGGGTCCAGCAGGGCAAAGGCCCTAGGTCTCCCCGAGTGAGTGCCACAGCGAGGGTGGAATGGGGTCGGCTAGGCCAGCCCAAGGGACAGCCGCAACGCATACCCCGGTGTAAGGCCCACGCAGCTGTATCTATTTAAATTATCTAAAACTGTCAAGTAACAACTCCAGTTCCTCAGACACAGGGGCCACACCTCGAACACTCCACGGCCACCTGCGGCTAACGGCTACCCCAACGGACAGCACAGAGACAGAGCATTTCTCTTAATGGCAGAAAATCCTACCGAACAGCCCTGAGCTAAAGGACTCCTACGACTCTACTAAGCGATTACTGGCTCTCCCAAGAACTCTGCGGCCCATAACGCTGCTGCTGGCAGGGACGAACACAGTGGCAGCTGGGAGGTGCCCAAGGGTTCGGTCCGTGGAGGACCTCCCACCTCCTCCCACTGCCCCTGCTCACCGAGGCCCCGGATGAGAAGCCCAGCTCAGGCCTGGCCTCGGCCTCCTGCTCCCCTCCCCGCATACAAGAGCATCCCGCCCTTCTTCAGGAAGTTGGGATGGAGCTGAAACGGGGCCTAAAGGACTAAACCCCCGAGGCACAAGGTAGTGCGGCTGGAACCAGACTGCTCCAGTCAATCCAGGAAAATGGAAAATCGTGCCTTAAGAGGATGAACACCACAGATGACCTTAAGTTGCAATATCCAATTTCCGGGATCAGAACATGTGGCCTAAGTGTGCACGACTCCACCTTCTGGTAGCCAGCTGGGGAGGACCCACACGCCCACAGACCCGGGTGCAGAAGCTCTACCTGTGTGGCTCATCCAGGCCAGGACGAAAGAAACGTTTTTACCACCTACTAGAGCTGGAAAGGCAGTTTTCCAAGAGGAAAAAAAACACCCCAGACCACTTAGGGTCCTCAGCTCTAGAAGGAAAAGAAGAGATCAAAATGAGGAGAATGTCACTCCCGGAATGTGAGCCAACTGCCCACATGGCTTGTGGCCCATCTGTTCAGCTGGACTGGGACCTAAACTCTCTACCAGCCATCCAGGACCACATCTCTTCAATTCTCATATTCAAGCAACGCTGTCAAAAAAGGAGGACCAAGTCCTGGGAAAGAAGGTACATGGTACAGAAAGACGTGGACATAATCCCACGGACCCGGCTGCCTAAAAGCACGGGCAGTCGGCCACACAAGCCAGGGGAGGGGAGGGCCGCAAGAAGTGACTTCTCCCAAACACCTGAGCATTTAGGCCAGCATGCCCGGCCCTCTGAACACCCCAGGTCTGTAAACAGCGCTGCTGCCTTGCATCATGATCAGAATGAGATCAAGCAGATCTTCACATGCTGAGAAGAGCGGGCGCTGGGAGTACGTGGCTATACTCACATTCCAACAAGCACGCTCGGAGGCCCTGAGGGAGTGAAGACAAGCAGCCCAAGCAGGACAGGCGGGACTGTCTGTGAGCTGGTCCGGGGTGGCACCCAAGTGGCAGAACACACAGATACCTGCACTGCGCCTTCCTAGATGGGCAAGTGTGTCTCAAAGACGCCGACGGGACAAGCGGCAATCTGTTTCGTGTGCTCGCTGCCAGTGTGCTGAATTCTGCACAAGAATTCAGGTTACAGCTCAGAGTCTGATGTTCTTCATGACAAACACTGGTGAGTCCCTGGATTTAATGGAGTGGAGAGAAAAATCAACATGCAAGCAGCTGGCATTTTGCTATTTCCACCCCTCTCCTCTTGTAGTCTAGACCAGTGTTGTCGCATCACTAGAACATTCTGCAGTGATGGAGGTGTTCCAGAGCTGCCCTACGCAACGTGGTAGCCCCGAGTCCCACGTGGCCACTGAGCAAAACGTGACTAGTGTGACTGAGGACCTGAAATTTTTCATCTTATTTATTTTTATTTAATTTTTTAATTTTTTTTTTTTTTAAGTACTCTCTACACCCAGCGCGGGGCTCGAACTCACAACCCTGAGGTCAGGAGTTGTACGCTCTACTGACTGAGCCAGCCAGGGGCCCCTGTGTTTAATTAATTTAAATTTAATTGCCACATGTGACTAGTGGCTACAGAATGAACACAGCTCTAGACTCAAGAACCAGGTAAAGAATTCACACCTTGTGTATTCTAAAGTGGACCACCATTAATACACAGCTGGGGTCAGTAATGCCAGTGGGTGGTATGGCCCTGGGCTGGGCCTTTAAATACAAGTCATGCCTTGGAGTTTACAGCCACTGGCAAATCTGGAAAGCTTGCCCAAAGTGTTGCTCTGCTCCAGCTCCTGCCCCAAACCAGGCAATGTGTCCTTCGCTTTCAGCATAAAGCAGACTCCAGCTGGGTGTGTCAAGCAATTCTGGAAAGTGGTCTTCCAATGTGAAGCTGAGATCTGAGTCAGCACAAATGTGACATGGAACAAACTCATTTAAGAGAGCTATAAACAGCCTATTTCAGTCATAAGAGCCAATAATATGCTTGGGCCTCTTAATCTACGGTGCTGGGCAATCAATTAATCCAGCCTGCCCCACCCAAACAGTCTTTCCACCCACTGAGCAGGAATGGAGGTGTGCCCAGAAGTTAGCTAGCTGGCCCAGCAGTGGGTTATGTTTCCATCCCCTGCTCAGCATGGGAGGATCTTAGGGAAACCGGGCTCAGACAGATGACTCCTCCAACAGAGCCTGGCTAGGGCCTCCCAGCAAAGGCAAACAGAAAGGGTCTCCCCCAGCCACACACCACAGTATCTGGGAGAAGTGGGGCCACCCGAGTCACAAAATTTGATGCCCCATTCCTGGCTGACATACAGCATCTGCATTTGTGAGCAGAGCCTTCAGTTCTAGGCCAAAGGTTGCAACCTGCACACCTAGGGAGACTAGGCAGGTAACCGCAATGAGTCAAGCTGTCAGGTGAGTAATGAACTAGAGAGCACTTGCCCTGACCCAGAAAAGTCGGCCACTACTCAGCTTTTCAAGGACAGTTTTATGTGAAATCTTTCAACTTATAAGTATTGGCAACTGATTTAAATTCTTTTTAAAACCTGAGGATCAACAGTCAAGGGCTGGATTCAGCCTATGGGCTGCTAGTTTGCAGACTCAGTTTTGAATTAATGCCTGTCTCCAACCAAGGAGATAAGACCCCCAGTATCTGATTTCTTAGATCAATAAAAGCTTAACTCGTGCTGGCACAACCCTTGTATGGTGTCTGGGGCATTCCTATTTGGCTCTTCCAGCTGTTTTTATCCAGTAAGGAGAAATGCCTTTCTCCCGGCTACTCCGGCTTTTCTAAACAGGATTAATGGTCGCATTAAAGATTTGAAAACGTCTGCAGGTTTACAGGCCATCTGGAAACCATCAAGGTCACTTCTTTAACTTCTTCCTATGGTCTGATCTAAGAAGTAGCACATGGGAGTTGGAAAAACAAAAATTATCTGCTTGCCATTCACTGCTTTTCCACACAAGAGGAAGTGCAGAACAGACAACGTTGGATAACTCTGAGCTTAAGAATAAAATGCAAGCTGGTCTATCACAACTACCAAACAGGAAGGATCTTCTGAGCTGAAAAAACCATCTGCATGCAACAGCAACAAGTATGTGATGGAATCAAAGAAAACGAATAATGAGGATAGTTAAGAGAAAGGGGGGGGGGGGAAGAGAGAGAAAGAGAACTCTTCTGGGTAATAAGCTTCTCCAAAGAGACAAAAAAAAAACGCAAACAACAAACTTTCTTGCTGACCTCGGCTATACAAACCAAGCCACAGCACAATGGACAAAGCAGCTGAATCCAGGTGACTCCACCAATACAAATCCTTCCCCAAATTTCTAGTAGCTGAACAGCTTCTAGTGGCTTCTACTAGCTGAAACTGCTTTCCTGAAGCAAAAACTGTAAATTCAACACGAAACACAAAAACCATTCCAATCTCATCTTCTAGAAATCAGTTCTCCAAATCGAGATCCACCTCGGAAGAAACAAGCCCCTAGCTCCCTACCCACACATCATTCATTAGGAAAGGTCACTTTAAAGGACTTCCACGGCAGGGGCGCTTGCAGAGAACCCTCGAAAAGTCGCAAGAATCGAGGGTTCGAGGAAGCGGCCGGCTCTCGGCCCGGGAGACAAACTGGGGAAGGTTAAAGCCAGCCTGATAAACGTGCAGACCGCACTGCCCTTCCCGCCCGCAGCTGGCCCACTCGGTGAAGGCTTCCCTTCCTTCTCCCTCCCGGGAGCCATTCCTCACCACGTCAGGGGTCGCGGCCGAGATGCCACGCTCGTGGCCAGGCGGGACGGGAGCTTCGGCCGCCGGATGCTAGGCGGGTCCCTTGGGCCTGCGCGGGGCTCCCGGTCCTTCCCGCGCGGCCCGGGCCCGGCCCGGCCCCTCTCTGGCCGCGGCCCACCTCGCCCGGCCCCGCCATCGTCACCTCCCCTGAGCCTTCCGCGGAGGCCGCTTCAGCCGGGCTAGAGCGGGTGCCGGCTCCCACCCAGATCCTGGATCGGCCGGGACAGGAACCCCTCGTACCCCGCAGGGCTACGAGGAGGGCGGGTGGGCGGAAAGGGGAGCCCGGGGACGAAGGCAGGGACAGCGCTGCAGCCCCAGGAGGCCTCACTGGCCTCCAGGCTCCGGAGCCACTCGCCCTGGGAAAGCAACAGGCCCCCGGATCTCACCTCTCACGGGCGCTGCCGCCACTGCTGCCCGGGCCAAGACGCCTCCTTCCCCAAGCGGCCATCTTGGAGACACTCAGCTCGCAAATGTCTCGCGCCAAGGCGGCCTCGGGATCGTGGGCGGACGGAAGGGAAATGTAGTCCGGGCCAGAGCTCCGGACTGTACGGGAGGTGGAAATCGAGCCCCCCAGGACTACAATGTCCACCATGCATCGCGCGCGCCGGAAGCTCCGCCTCTTTGAGGTCGCCTGGGAAATGTAGTCCTCAAACCGGGCGGAGCGAAGGAGGCAACCTGGGCAGAGTCCTATTCAGAGCACCTTTTTAGAAATTAAAATTCCCAGAGTTCGCAGCCTAGGAGTCACAGGCGCCTTGGGCTTCAGGAGCAAAGAGCTGGAGCGTGGAAAGAAAGTGCCTACAACTCCCAGAGCACCGCGCGGGAGGCGTCCCGCCGCTGCCCGCTGCAGTCGCCGAGGGGCGCCGCGCTTTCTGTGGGGCCCGCCCGCCGCTTCCCGGTCCTACCCGCGCTCGCCGCCCTCGCGCCCGTCCCGCCGCCGGCCTGTGCAGCCGCCGGCTGGGTCTCGCCCTCCGCGAAGGCGGCCCGACCCGCCCTTCCCAGCCGCCTCTCCCCACTCAGGTCACCGAGGGGCCGGAGGCGCCACCGGCCTTTCTCAGAGGCCCTCGCTACTCCCGCCGCATTCCCCCGACTTCCCTGGACTCCAGGGATGCTGTGGGGCCAAGACAGACGCGGTCCCTTCTGCCACGAAAGTCCCTGCTTACAGACTGTTGGAATCGAGAGTCTCAAAGCAAAGAAGAGAAAGAACCAAAAGTGATCATCGCTATGAAAGAAACAGGGTCCTTTATAGAGAAAAGCCCATCTGAGATAGGGCCACTTAGGCCCTTTGCTCTCCACCGCACAGCCCACTCCTGCCTTGGTGCGGGGACGTGAATATGATCAATCTTCTATTTCGGTGTCTTTGAGGGTATATGCAAGGTAAATCACCCCGCCTGGCGGGAGCCCTGCCCGGGACGTGGCATTTCCCTGCCTGGACGCTGCCGCGAAGAGTCAGGATGGACGAAACCCGACCCAGTGATTCATGGACGCTACTCCAACGGACCTCTGGGCTACTTGGAGGAGGAGCGTTCACAGTGTTGGAACTTGTCGTCTCTCTCCAGTTTTCCACAGGCAACGTTAGGACACGTTAGTTGGTTCCATAAATATTTGAGCAACTCTTGTATGTCAAAATCTGTTCCAGATTCCGAGAAAGGAAAAAGTCTGGCGGAGCTCAGCACGCCCGGGCACGGGGCTGTCAGGTGTAGATGGCACTCTTAGCATTGAGGATGCCTCCGTATCTCCTTCCAGCTCACGTTCTACCATAGATTTAAATGCCTGAAGTCCTCTTACAGTCCCTCATTACCTATATGATGAACTTCAAGCTCCTCAGCACAATCTAGAAGCCCCTCCATAGTTGGGAGTTTGTCTATCTCGCCAGCTTCTACTGCCTCTCTTTCCTGCCTGGAACTTGCCAGGAGAGCGAATGCGTGCTTTCCGTAAAATGTCTTTCTCTCGCAGCCAGCTATCCTTTAGACTTCAGGCCTGTCTGGTACCTCAGAAGTGCCCGCTCAGGTCACACAACACGGCCTCGCAGTGCCAGCGTGTATGTGACACGTGGCTAGAGACCTCTGAACGATGATCACGCTGCCTCGTCATTACCTACAGACAGATCCGTTCTCTCTGGACCAGGGTGGTGGTGGAGAGGGTCTCTAGGGATTCTAGAACAGCTGGGTGTGAAGACTGGCTCCACACTCTGCATCTAGGGCTGCTTCTATAACCTGTTTCTCAGTTGCCTTGTTTGTAGAGTGGGGGTGATATTAGTATCTCTCCTCGAAGGACTGCTCTGAGCATTACATAAGATGATTCATGTATGGAACTTGCACATACATGTTACACAGGTAACAGCCGATGGTGATGTCACGCCAAGCCCTGTTCTAAATCTGTTAAGTGACTTAACCATTGATCTCCACAACAACAACGGGAAAGCGATGCGGTTATTATCAACATTGTTACTGTGTAAATGAGGAAACCGAGTCACAGAGGACCTGAGTGACTTTCCCAGGTCACCCTGCCGGTCAGGAGTGGTGCCGGGGACTGAACCGAAGCTGTCTGGTTGCAGAGATTACACTATGCTGTGGCGCCTCTCGGGAGGAGGCTGGAAATGCCATTGTCTTCATCAACGAGGACAGGTCCCAGGCCAATGTGTAATGCACAGAGGAAATGTAAGTAGGCAAACAGCTGTGCACCTAGGCTGATCGTCCCGCCTCCCCGGCTCTTGCACTTACCTTCTAGCAGGCCATCTGCTTCCAGTCGGCTGACATGAGCTGAGACACAGCCCCCTCACCCCGCAGTGTTGCCTCTGGACCACTCTTACTGCCCAGGCGTCTTCTGGAAGGTTTATAGGCAGGTTAGTTCACTCAGCCTGTAGTAACTGAGCACCCATTGAGGGCACAGCCTGAATGGTGGAAGTTGGAAGTCCTGTGGCCTCCCAGGCAGTGAAGCCTCCTGAAGAAACCCTTGAACTGCTCACAGACAGAAAGCGGGAAAGGTGGGTCCTAGCTGGTGCTCAAAAATCATTGAGCACCCTTTTCATTCATTCATTCTTAGCAAATAAGTATTGAGTGCACTCTGTGTCACCCTCTTAGGCACCAGAGACACAGCATTTAGTAAGATGAACACTGTTCCTGGTCTCATGGGCTTTTCAGTCTAGTGCGATCACAACCAAGCACATATTTTCAGAGGATTTCTAAGAAGACAAGAAGCAGGATGATGTAGTAGAGTGACTTGGAGACTATGGGGGGGTGAGAGGAGATCTCTTTGAAGAGGTAACATTTGCCTGGGACCTGAGTGGAGAGAGTGTGGTCAGGTAGAGCTGGAGACAGAATGTTCTGCCCCGAGAGAATCCGCGTGGAGGCTCTGGAGTGTGAGCGAGCTTGATGTGTTCCAGAAATGGGACGGGGCTCACTGGAGCATGGCGAGGGACGAGAGGTAGTGGGTTTGCCTTCGGCTAAGTCACTTCCTGTCTTTGAGCTGCCATTTTCGCCTCTGTAAAATGGGTGTAACTTTCTCTGTGTGTTAGTCAGCGTCTAGTTCGGGGGCAAAGCTGCTGTAGGTATTTCAGGCAGAAGGAGTTTACAGAGGTGTTGGGAGGGCAGGAGAAGCAAGGGGACAATGAGGACGCCCACAGACTAGTAACCGGCGGGAGCAGCTGTGGCCCCTGAGACGGGGGGAGCAAAAGAAAAGCTCGTGTTTCCCAGAACCGTGATTCCCACTTGCTGGAGCAGGAGCTGAGCGTCACAGCCCTGGGGCTGCTCCTGTCACCACGGCGGCCTGAGGCGCCACAGCGCCCTGGGCGGGATGGCTTCTCCCTCGCTGCCGTCCCCCGAGCCCCTGCCCGTGCTGGCTGTCGGCCGAGTCGCCGACAGGGGCGTCTGCGAAGTGTGCTTTGCAGGGTGGGATGAACAGGGCAGACGCATTGTCACACGGCGACCACGCACGCCTGCGGTGAGCACGGGCCACGACGTATGTGTGCTCGCAGGCCTCCCAGCACCCGGGAAGCCAGCAGAGACATCCTGGTAGACTGTCTTCACATGACGCTCTGGACTTAGGACTCAGAGCATCAGAAGTGAGCATCTTAAAAATAGAAATTTAATTCTGAGTGGATACTGTATTCACACGGCGTCAGATTCAAATGCAGTGATGGTAGGTTTCTCGGACCCTGCTCTTGCCATGACCTAGTCCTTCACACCTGCTGGAGCTGTGGCTTGTTCCTCTCTTACGTGTCTTGTACAGATACTCCGACGTAGGCAAACGTATCCATCTACTACCAACAGCTGTCTCCTGTCACCCCGAGGGGGCATCCTGTGCTCAGGCCGTGTGACTTGTGTCCACTTCCCCGTATCCTGGAGACGACTCTGGGCAGACACCGGATCTAATAGCACGCGCCATGCCGTGCTCAGAGATGCCATGGTTTTATCAGGCAGCCTCCCAGTAGCGTTTTACTGTTCGAAGAGGCCTGCGATCCGTGTGCTTGCACAACTTCCCGGTGCCCGTGCAATGATTTCCTAAAGACGACTTGCTGGGTCAGAGGGCGTGGGCACTGGTCGCCTTGGTAACAATGGCCCGAGCACCCTCCACTCCCACCAGCAGGGGCTGTTTCCCCACAGCTCCACCAGCACAGTCTTCACGACGCCCCCACTGAGGCCCCAGACGTTGGGGGCAGATGTGCTGTGCCCCGTCTAGGTTCCTGACCCACGGACTCCATGAGCAGACAGACACGGCCCTTCTTTTCTGCGACCGTGTTTTGAGGTGGCTTGTTCCACAGCGGTAGACACCTGAAACAAGCCCTTCCTAAAAGCCTGTATTGGCAGATGCTCTGCACTTGGAGAGACAGAAGCTGGCCTCCCAGTGCTCCGTGGTGCCCAAGCCCAGTCGTGAGCCCAGCCGCAAGCAACCCAGTGTCCTTCCAGGATGTTCCTGGGGAGCCTCAATCCTCCCTCCTATCAGCATCCCACCTCGGACACGGAAAGGGCCCTGGTGTGTGCACAGCCCATACTCCTGGGGAACCGCAGGCTCATGCCTCTTTTATCGCACACCAGTTGCCCCAGGTCCACGGCCTGAGTGTGGAAGAGGCACATGTTGCCCCTAGTTGATCTCAGCGTCCTCCTCGGTGGAGACCGGTGGCCATCAGCATGCGAGCGACGCCGCGCAGCAGTCGCTTTGTGGGAGGTGTTACTCGGCCATGTGTCACCCAGACCCTGCTCCTTCCCACAACCCAGCACAGGTTGATAGAGGAGGACGAGCCCAAGGCCCCTGCCTCCGTTAGCCCGCCTGGCCCGCTTCTCACTCAGGGCTGGGCCAAACAGAGCAGGGGTACTGGAGGGTGACACGGGAGTTCCGGTGTTAATATGAGGAGCTCCTGGACAAACTGGGCCAAGATGGTCTGATGATAACAGTGCCTTGTTATAGTTCATGTGAGAGCAGGTGCCTCCTGGGGAGCGTGAAGTAGGTGAGACATCTACTCACAGGTTGACTTCTCAAGCAGGGGCCGGGGGACCTCAGGGGAAGTGGCGATCTCAGATGTTCACAGGACATTGAAACTACCCTATAGTCATTGCTAGGGCTGCCATAACAAAGTGCTACAGACTGGGGGCCTTAAACCACAGACAGTTCTTTTTCCATGATTCTGGGAGCTAGAAGTTCGAGATCAAGGTGCCAGCGGGGCTGCCTTCTTCTGAGGCCTCTCTCCTTGACTTGTAGCAGGCCACATTCTCGCTGTGTCCTCACACGTCTCCCTGTGTCTCCTGCGTGTCCAGATTTCCTCTTCTTATGAACTCACCAGTCAGACTGGATCAGGGCCCTCCCATCTGACCTCATTTCACCCTACTCACTTTATTTTTTTTCAGGTTTTTTTTTATTTGTCAGAGAGAAAGCGCAGAAGCACGGGGGAGGAGCAGAGGGAGAAGCAGACTCCCCGCTGAGCAGGGAGCCCCGTGTGGGACTTGATCCCACCTGGGGCATGACCTGAGCCGAAGACAGATGCTCAACCGACTGAGCCACCCAGGCGCCTCTACCCTGCTCACTTTAAAGACTCCCTCCAAATACAGCCACATTCTGAGGTCCTAAACTTCAACATACGAATTTGGGGCGGGGGGACATGACTCTGCCCAGAACATGTTTGGACTGAGGCCACCAAATGTTGCAAGGTTCCGTGCCCTGTGGTGAGCACTGCCAACATCCAGCCTAAAAGAAGCTGGAGAGCAGAGGGAATATTGCTTCGAGACAAGGACATGTGGGCTGACGCCACTTGCTCTGGGTCCCCTGGGCTGGGACGCTGTGGGCCGGTGGACGGCTGCATGTAAAGCCCTTTGAAGGGGAGAGGCTTTGCTGGCAACCAAGGGGGCCGCACACGGAGAGAGGGACCGGCTTGTGCTAGGCCAGTTACATTCCCCGCCTGGGCAGGGGGAAATGGCAGAAGGGCTCTGACGCTATTTTAAGTCCTGTCCTGCCCCAGGGGATGCCTGGAGAGAGAAGGGGGACCCCACCAAGAGGATGGGCCACCAGATTCCTAGGGGTTGAAAGAAGAACTGGAAGGCCAGCCATCACAGGGAGTGGAATCAGAAGTACCTGGCCGAAGCACAGAGGTGACCCGCAAATGTCATATTTAGACAGATGCTTGTCGGGCGCCTGGGTGGCTCAGTCAGTTGGGCGTCTGCCTTCGGCTCAGGTCATGATCCCGGGGTCCTGGGATCGAGCCCCGCATCGGGCTCCCTGCTCGGTGGGGAGTCTGCTTCTCCCTCTCCCTCTGCCCCTCCTCCTGCTGGTGCTCTCTCTCTCTTTCTCTCTCTCTCTCTCGCTCACTCAAATAAATAAATAAAATCTGAAAACAAAAACAAAACAAGATGTTTGTACGCCCATGCTCTCGACAGCAGTATTCACAATCACCAAAAGTTCGAACAACCCAAAAGTCCATCTGCAGATGAGCAGATAAACAAAACAAGGTCCATCCCCACAGTGAACTATCACTTGGCCATAAAAAATGAAGTACTGACATATGGTACAACATGGATGGACTTTGAAAATATGCTGCATGAAAGAAGCTGGTCACATGTATATGAAATGCCCACATAGGCAAATCTAGACAGAAAGTGGATTAGTAGTTGTGTGTGAGGGGCGGGGGGGGGGGGGGGTGTCAGGAGAGGGAGTGGGGAGGGACTGCTGATGGGTACCAGGTTTCTTCTGGGGATGGAGAGAATGTTTTAGAACTAGGTAGAGGTGATGATTGACATTTGTGCCAGATCCTTAGTCCACTCTTAATATTGCTCTTTGAATGGGGTCACTCTTCGAACCCTGAAATATAGTTATTTAAAAGAGAAACTCTAGGGGCGCCTGGATGGCTCAGTTGTTAAGCGTCTGCCTTTGGCTCAAGTCATGATCCCAGGGTCCTGGGATCGAGTCCCGCATCGGGCTCCCTGCTTGGTGGGAAGCCTGCTTCTCCCTTTCCCACTTGCCTTGCTTGTGTTCCTGCTCTTGCTGTCTCTCTGTCAAAATAAATAAAATCCTTGGGCGCCTGGGTGGCTCAGTTGGTTGAGCGACTGCCTTCGGCTCAGGTCATGATCCTGGAGTCCCGGGATCGAGTCCCCCATCGGGCTCCCTGCTCAGCGAGGAGCCTGCTTCTCCCTCTGACCCTCCCCCCCTCATGTACTCTCTCTCATTCTCGCTCTCTCAAATGAATAAATAAAAAATCTTTAAATAAATAAATAAATAAAAATCCTTTAAAAAAAAGAGAGAGAGAAACTCTATATTGACTATCTGAATGGAATGCCTGTATCACATGCACGATTCTGCAAAAATAAATACAATAAGAACAAAAAAAGATTATTAAATTCTAGCAAGATATTGTCGCTCCCCTAAAGCTCCCAGGAAAAGGGAGACACTTGCCCCCGAGGTGAGGGGTTGCCCTTTAACTCTGGGCTCTAGAGGGCCCAGAATCGTCTCACTGGCTGGCTGGCCTCTGAGGAAAGACTGCCCCACACTCTGAGTAAGGAGCACTCCCCAAAACCCAGTGGGGGGCAGGGGTGATTCTCTCCATCCAGGCCGGCAAACACAGGCTCCTTGTTCATATGCCCACACCTGCACATGGGCGGGGGGCTCCTCACAACTCCCTGGATTCCTCACACAGAGGGTCCCAGGGACTCTGTGAAATGTCCAGGCCCATGAGGCGGGAGGTCTGAGTTGGAGTCCTGACTCTGGCACCAAGCCAGCTAGGAGACTCCATTGTTCATTCCTTCAGCAAATATCCATACATCCCCGACACGGTGCCTCAGCAATGAACACGACAGGTGTGGTCCTGCTTTGGGGCTTTTGTTTCAGTGGCAAGAGTTGGTCAACAAACAAGGAAACAAGTAAGAAAAGTCCAAGGAGTAATATAGGTTCAGAATAAGATGGGGCATGAGGTAAAGAGTGCCCAGGGAGGCAACATTAGATGGGGACGTCAGGAAAGGCAGCATCCACCTTTCCTCTTGCCTAGAATATGGCTGTGATACCTGGAGGTACAGGAGCCATTTTGTGACCATGAAGCAACAAGCAGGAGGGCAAAAGCCAACATAGTAGGGAGATGCAGAGGAGGATGAAAAGAGCCTGGGCCTTCATCCTCCAGACTTTGTAATACATACCATAAATGAAATGCCACTGTGAGTTGGGCTTTCCCAGCAGCTGAACACATGTGTAATTAAAACAGATCTAAATGACAAGGAAGGTGAAATTATGGTAATATTTGGAGGAAGAAAGTTTCAGGTAAAGGGAACAGAAGTGCAAAGGCCCTGGGGCAGCAACAAGCTTGAAGGATTTGAAGTAAAGGAACGAGGTCAGTGCCGCTGAACTGTGGTGAACCTGAGGGACACGGGTGAGCAGGGGCTGCTTCAGGTCCCTCAGATTGTACCCTTAGTTCAGTGGGAGGGCACTGGACATGGTCTGATTGGGGTTTTAGGAAGATCTTCCTGGCTACTGTGTGGAGAGCAGCCCACAGGGCATAAGAGAGGTCGGGAGACCAGAAGGTCAGGTGAGGGAGGGAGGCTGGGCCCTGCCCTGGGCTGGCTGTAGTGGAGATGGAATCTGGGGACCATGTTTATACACACACCCCTCAACACATAGGGCGCTCTTCCACCCAGACAGACCCCAGTTGGAGTCCTGACCCTGCCACTTGTCAGCTGTGGACTCGGGGACACCTCAAACCTACCCATTTCTCCATCTTACTGCCCCGTTGTGATCCAGGACACTGAGGATCTGCCCTGAGCTAAGCTGCCTTCCCACCCCCAAACTTCACCTTGCAATCCTTTCTCCACACTCCAGCCACCATAATTCCTTTAAAACAAATATGAATGTGCCACTTCCCTGCTTACAAGCGTTCGATGAGTCCCCAGAAGCCTCAGCAATCGAATCTAGTTGCCTGACCAGGCCTATGTGTTTGTTAAGCTGTTGTTAGTCTAACAAATAGACTGAACCATGCCTCAGAGATCAGCTGTAATGCTGGGCGCTCCCTCCCAGGAGTCCGCCACTTCCTGAAGGGGAAGGGGAGATGGGGGAGGGGAGGCACCACCTTCGGAAAGCCTCCGTCCACTTTTGCTGGCAATTAACGACCAGGGAGCCTGGGAGATGCGTCTGTCTGTCCAGGAAGGGCAGGGAATGGAGTGTAGGTGACTTACCGAGTCCCTGCAACAATTTGTCCCCTGGCCACCCAATGGCAGTGCTCCCCTTTCTTCACTCGTACCCTCCGCCCGAGGGACACGCCCACACCACACCCCATTTCCGTTTGAGGCCTCCAGTCTCTTAGAGATGCAGCATGTTCTCCACCGGCCTGGGATCTAGAAGTAAAATCCAACTTACTGCGCACTCCGACCCAGAACGAGATGGTAGGACAGGGACGCGATCGACGCAGGTGAAGCTCTCAGCCGAAAAAGGGAGAGCAGGAGACGGCACGTCCCGGCACGTCCCGTGGCAGCCCCAGGCCAGCCACAACGGGATCCCGAGGGGCAGGCGTCGTGGGGACCCCCGCCCTGGCTTGGCCCCGACTCCGCTCTTGGGGAGGACCCTCCCCGTCCTGTTTTCTCCGTGGCCACCTCTGAGGAGGGGTCTGAGGAGGGGTCTGCACGCTTTCTGCAGCCTCGCCCATGGCCGTGGCCTCGGGGGCCAAGCCCTAGGCACATTCCTCATTGGCAGTACAGTTCCCTCCAAGACTGAGGGAGCTCTCCTTTCAGGAAGATCCAGAGGACTGTGCCCGTCGCTCTTTCCTAACGTAGCTTTCCAAAAAAAAAGAAAAAGCAGCTCCATTTCTTTGCTTTCTCATCATGTGTCTGTCTCTGCCTCAGTTTACCGAAGCTTAACCTCCGGAGCAGCTCAGACAGGGAGCTGGCGGGCCCAGGGAACACTGCATGGGATCTTGTGGGCGGCCGAGGCTTTGTCTACAGAACTGAGAGACCGTCAGGTCGCGGCTGCCTCGGACGCTGTCGGTTCGATTCCCTGCTCTTTGCGGCCATTAGCAGGTGTCTCTTCAAACACGGCGGGGCCTCCAGCCCTTTCCCGCACCTGCCCTCCATTGGCAGACGGTCCTCTCACACGCACCTCGTCCTCACGCCTCGCTGCAAACTGAAGGACCCCCCCCGCACACATCAGTATGGGCTTCGATCGCCTGAGTGCCCCTGAAAGCCACAGGCTCAGGAGCAGCCTGCTCTGCCCTCCAGGGCCTGGCGGGGGCCGGTGGTCACGGCGTTTTGCCCCCGCACGACGTGAGTCTCCACCTTTCCGCTGTGCTGTCCATCCTCTGGTGCCACCTCCTCTCCAGGCTCATTTCCTGCCTCCCTCACCTCCGGACACGTGCAACCTCAAAAGATGCCGTCAGCTACCTCACTGCTGGGCCTTTGCTCGTGCTTAATCTACCCAGAGCTTTCTTTCCGTTCATCTATCAGTCCACCGGTCCCTCCCTCCATCCAACAAACACTGTTGAGCGTTAAATCTGTGTCAGGCCCTGCTCCGGTCTGGGGATATCAAAGTGAGCAAAATGGAACACAAACAAACTACTGTTCTCATGGGGCTTGTATCCTCGGAGTGAGATGCAGACAACAAATAATAAACAAGCTAAAATAAACCGGTTATACATAATGTAAGAAGAAAGCAACGATTAGCAAAACCGGAGCAGAATAAGGGAATCAGGAGGGGTGGGTAGCAGCTTAAAGGCGGCGTAGGATCTGGGAAAGGAGGCCTCACTGAGGAGGTGACAGTTGGGCACAGACCTCAAGGAGGCCAGGGAGGAAGACCCAAGGATGGCGGGGAGAAGAGCATTCTGAGCAGCTGGAAGTGCATGTGCAAAGGCCCTGAGGTGGGAGTGACTTTGCGGGTATGAGGACCCGCAGGGAGGCTTGTGTTGCTGATGAGGAGATGGGGTCGTGAGACCGTGGGGACCACCTGCTACGGGGCCTGTAGGCTGAGCCCTTCACAATGCCCACCTATCTTTTAGCTTTCGACCTAGATATTCCTTCCTCAAGAGAGCCTTCCGGGGCCCTCTGCATTGGCGTGGGCGCCTTGCCTGCGAACACCAGCAGCCCTGTCAGAGTCTTCTTACCGGGTGTGTGCTTTCCACTCCTACCCTGCCCTGCGGGGTCCCCTGAAGATGGAGCCCCATCTGCCTTACTCACCCTCAGATCCTCACTGAATACATAATAGCTACTCCACGTGGGAATGGGATGGGCTTCCGAACTGCAGGGTCTCCACATGTGCAAGGAGGAAGGCTCTCTCTTCACAGGCAATTCAACTTGGGAAATTTGAAAGAACGGACCTGATTTTCTGACCTAGTTCATACTTTTAGTTAACCTTTTTGTCTTAACAGATCAAACACTGGTAAATTCTCTTTTCCCTGACTTATTCTAGATTCCAGAATGACCACGGAGAGGCTTATTCCTGTCCAGTCTCAGCGTCTTTCCACATCTAACCTGTGACTTCACTGTCAAGTGCCTTAAGAAAGAAACCTCTTGGAAGGATCCTCCTCTGATCTCGTGTGTTTCACCCTCTCCCTAATTCAGAGGATTGCTGAATCTCACCCACAGATCTCCCACCCAAACCCGAGCCACAGCCTACAAGTGTCCCCTGTCACCTACGACAAGCTC